TTCCCATGAATTCTCTTCAGAACTCCTTGAGAACTAACTGCACTCTCCTAGAACCGGGAAGTTGTCACATTTTAAATGAGTTTTCTTCAGAGCTTTCTGATTCGTGGATGGACCAGAAAGAGGAGTGGTTTTGACGTAAGGTGTTTATCAAAAGTCGAGGTCAGAGAATGAAATTTGTTTAACAACTGACAGAGAGATTATTGCAAAAAGCAGACTTCGTGGAGTCTCTATTCTGATTATCTTCTCAAATAGTTAAACATGACATTTCTTCTTCAGTAAACATTTAGTTGACCGAAGCTTCAACTTTCACATACTTACGACTTGACTCATTTCAGACAGAAAATCAAGAAATGCATATTCAGGTGATTTCTTCTTTGAATGAGGAATAAAAATCATTACTTACTGTTTATGTAAAATAAAAATGAGTAGTTCTTTTCAACCTGTAAGCATTGAGTGAAACTAACACAATTTGATTATCAAAACATTTGTAAGACAGTAATGATTATAGAGGATTGTCTTTTCTGCTTGATTAATTCAAGAAAGAAAGTCATCAGATGGCTCAGACTTATTCAGATCAATGAAAATAACAGTCTCTGTCCATCTGGTAGATTTGAGGTCATCAGGGTCAGATGAGGGTCAGATCATCAGGTCATCTGGTTCACTACACCTGCTATAGATTATTGTATTGCTGTATAATAGTTTGTCGACGAGTGTATGATGTGCCGTATGCAGTACTCTTATTTAAAAAAGCAATTCACTGTTTTGCTGAGACTTTCTGTACAAAAAAAGGTACAATTAAAATTAATGTTTGCCCAGGTGATAATGGCAGTGACTGGGTGCAACACTGGGTGAAAGGAGGACACAAATATTTCTACAACCTGCAGACCAAGGAGGGCACATGGGAGCAACCAGAAGGCTTTGTACAAAACAACACCCAGCTCAACAAGGAGGACATCCAGGTCCGTGTCTCCTCCTTGGCATCTCCTCAGGTTCATGGTTTTAGAACCACATTTAATGCTTTTCTTCTTCTACCAGGGGGTGGTTTCTGGGGTGACCACAGCTTACAACCGGGAGCAGCTCTGGCTGGCCAATGAGACTCTAATCACCAAGCTCCAGGCGCGTTGCCATGGTTACCTGGTGAGAAAAGGCCTGAAGGAGCGCATGAACTTCCTGAAATCTCAAGACCCAGCAGTTACGTGCATACAGGTGAGCTGGCGGTGTTCATTTCACCCCTCTGACGTCAAACATCAGTCTGACCACATGACTGGCTCCTCAGGCCCACTGGAAAGGCTACAAACAGAGGAAGGACTTCAAAGAGCGTAAGGAGTATCTGGAAGATCACACCGACGAGGCTGTGAAGGTACGACTGTAGAGCATTTTATTAGAACAACAACCAAAAACAACTTCCAGTGAAGACTAAAGGGTTTACGTCCTCAGATCCAGTCCATGGTTCGCATGCATCAGGCTCGTAAGAAGTACAGAGATCGTCTCCAGTACTTCAGAGATCACGTGAGTCGTGCGTTTCCCAAAAACAAATCAGCTGCTAATTAGATTTTGGAGAGATTTAAAGAGCAGGACATTGGTCATTTTCTGTCTCAGATCTTACGCTAAAGGCAAACAGGCTTAATGAAAGCTTTAAATCATGATGTGGGGACACATGTCCCTGCAGGGTTCAGCAGGCTGATGGCTCGTTTAGCACTTTGACATATGTGATGTCATTTCCTCTTTTACTCATTGTGATACTTTAGGCACTAATGAGGTGTATTGATCATCCAACTGAATAATGTTTCTTCCTGCAGATCAATGATGTGGTGAAGATTCAGGCGTTCATTCGAGCCAACAAGGCGAGGGATGACTACAAGACTCTGAGTAAGACTTCTGCTCCGTTTCAACAAACTGTCAGTGTCACGTTCAAACGATCACACTGCAATAACGAGAACTTTCTGTAGTCAACGCTGAGGATCCACCGATGGCGGTGGTGAGGAAGTTTGTCCACCTGCTGGACCACAGCGACCAGGACTTCCAGGAGGAGCTGGAGCTGATGAGGCTGCGTGAGGAGGTGGTCACCAACATCCGCTCCAACCAGCAGCTGGAGAACGACCTGAACCTGATGGACATCAAGATCGGCCTGCTGGTGAAGAACAAGATCACTCTGCAGGACGTGGTGTCCCACAGCAAGAAGCTGACCAAGAAGAACAAGAGCCAGCTGTCGGACATGATGATGATGAACAAGCAGAGGGGGGGCCTGAAGGCTCTCAGCAAGGAGAAAAGGGTCAAGCTGGAGGCCTACCAGCACCTGTTTTACCTTTTACAGGTAATAAGACTTCCAGAACTGTTTCTGTTGGGTATTTTCTGTGAAAACAAGTTTATAAAAGCTTCTTCTACACACTGCTGGTGTAGATCCTCAAGCTTCAGTGATCCAAAGAATTACCATATTTTTCGGACTAAGGCGCATTATATGAAACAAAACCGTCAGATAAGTCAAACTTTATTCAACTTGTTCACAGTAACTCAACATTGTTCAGCTGTACCACATAAACACAGTTCAAGGTCAGTAAGCACAACCAGAATGAATACATAACTGGATTATAAGACTCACTGTTGATTTTTGAGAAATTAAAGGATTTTAAGTGCCTTATAGTCTGAAACATACGGTAATACTAATAAAAACTTTCAGGATGTCTGATAGACGGAGCACAGAATCTTCTCCTGATGATTTCTCTAAATGTCTTCTTATTTTCAGACCAACCCGACATATCTCGCCAAGCTGATCTTCCAGATGCCCCAGAATAAATCCACAAAGTTCATGGACTCCGTCATCTTCACTCTGTACAACTACGCCTCAAACCAGAGAGAGGAGTACCTCCTCCTCAGGCTGTTCAAGACGGCTCTGCAAGAGGAGATCAAGTGAGACGAGAACCCTTCCTGGTCCTTCATGGCCACAGTTTAGATGAGTCTGTCCACATTCGTGGACCATGTTGGAGCTCCTGGTAAAGGTTCTCCACCCTCCAGGGCTGTTGGACTTCCTCTAGTTTTAAAACTGTCAGAAAAGATCTGTTCCAAAAACACCAGTCAGCATATTTTATGTATAGAATAATATCAGAGAAAGGTTTCAGATTTATTGTGCAGAACGTCTTATAAAAAGTTTCTTTTTGAATCTGTCTGCAGGTCCAAAGTGGACCAGATGAAGGAGATCGTCACAGGAAACCCAACAGTGATCAAGATGGTGGTGAGCTTCCACAGAGGTGCGCGGGGACAGAACGCCCTGAGGCAGATCCTGGCACCGGTCGTCAAGGAGATCATGGAGGACAAAACGCTAAACATTAAGACCGACCCGGTGGACATCTACAAGGCCTGGGTGAACCAGATGGAGACGCAGACGGGAGAGGCCAGGTGAGCTGCACGTAAACCATCCAAAGTCTTTCAGGCTCTTTCAGACGCTGGTTTTCTTTGAAGCCGTTTTTCAGCTCCAGCTCTCATGAACATGGTTTGACAGGTGGCACTTCCTGTTGCTCAACTTCAAAAGTGTATCATAACAGAGCCAGAGGCTGTATTTTAGTTCATGTTAATATTTACGATTTCAGGTAATTTGCTCAGTCCGGTTCTGTTTCTGCAGAATTATCTGGTGGTAAAAATCTTGGCACACTGTTGCTCAGGAATGGATAAAAAAAAACAAAACACAAACATACATTCAAAATACTACGACACAACCACAACTAAATCTCAAAAGCTGCAAATAGATGAACGTTTTCCTTTGGGCAGGTAACTGCTGATGAAACAGTAGGTTTGGTTTTCACGGTCAGACTGTGGAATCATGTTTATCTTCTGTGATTCAAGATGATGAAATTAATCATTTGATTTTATTTTTTAAGTTGCACTCCTAAATCACTAAAACTCGACTATAAAACCATAAAAAAATCTCAAAACAATGCAAACCTATTTTTTGTATCCGCAAAACATTTGTGTTTTTGTCACTTTCAAGTAAATATTTACTTAAATTGTTCTAACAGTTTGAGTTGTGGTCATTATTTTGAGCGGTTTCTTTGTATTTGTTGTGATATTTATTTATTTATTGCAGCACACTTGTTGATTTGCATGTTGTGATTTCAGTTGTCAAATAGTTAAAATAGTTTTCTAATTTGCATTGTTGTGTATTTGCATGTTCTTTGGTCGCAGCTTATTGAACTCTGGGTCACTGCAGAGATGATGTTTTCATTTCATAAGACAGGATTAAAATGCTTTATGTGTTCAGATTTATTTAATTTGTTTACTTTACATCTTCTCCTTTTTAGGCTCTAACTTCAGTTTTTTAAGGAATAATGTCTAGTTTAGCCTCTATGCTGATGACACTCCGACCTCTTTCACTCGTTCTTTCCATACGGCACATTCAAAGCTGAACCTTTAACGTACAGTACATCTGTTTCAAGTTGAAGTGGTAAAAATGCAGCAGAATCAAGAAGTCCTTTTTTATTTGTCTCTGAAATTCAAGAAACAATTTTACTATACATTGATCATTTTACCAATAAAGGATTCAAGGTTCTTTATTTGTCATATGCACATGTGGTGCATGAGGTGGAATGAAATTGTGTAAACAGGGTCCCAGTTACATCCAACAAAAGTATAAAATGTAAAAAGAAAAACAGTAATAAGATCTAAGATATGAACTAAGAAAAACATTAACTAAAAATACACTAAGTACTAGTAGTACAAAAACAATACGCCGAACAGCAGCACGAACATGAGTCTGTGTGAGCAGCTGAGCACGAATGAACACAGGAACATGAAACAGATCAGCAGCAACATGAAACAGATCAGCAGCAACATTGAAACAGATCAGCAACAACATGAAACAGATCAGCAGCAACAGCAGGAGGTGTAAATGTCGGTGATGGGGGGAGACTGACTCTAAAAGACTTCTGTGCAGCCGTCACCACTCTGCAAAATTAATTAAAATTCATGTTTTAAATTAGGATCTGTTCTTTCATTCAAGAACCAATGTTGGTTAATACTTGTGTTTGAATTAAGCCTCCAGTATACTGCCGCGTACGTCCGTGTACGTACGCGTGTACTGTACGCAGAGTGTTCAGACATGATACTCCAGCGTACACCCCGCGTAGCTGCAGAGCAGCTTCACAGACAAGGGGCGTTTACCTTTGGGACAAATTGAGGTCGCCGATTGGTCATTTGCTGACACGCCTACTGGATTGATTGACAGGTCGGAAAAAGGAAAAAAAGCGAGCGCTGGCAGCCTCCGCCACAGCGGTGTTCTGTGTTTATATGTTGTTAATAAAAAGATCTAAAAATAAAAAAGCACAGGGAGCACTGGCTCTACAGCCCACACATCAGACCAGCCCACCAGGAAATCTACAGACCCTCCCGCAGCCACGCTGGACCTGAGTTTATTTTGCTCGTGACAAATTCCTCCATTTCTCACCATTTCAGTTATGGCATCAACGGAGGAGGAAGAGATCACTGCCTCTTGGCAAAAAAACAAACAAAAGAAAAGGCCAGATCAGGGATGAAGAAGGGGAATTTAATACATTGGTGTCGCATACAAAACAGTCCGTCGCTGGGCAGTTTATTGTGCAACAACGCGTACGCGGTCGTAAAAATTTGAGCTTTGCACGGAGGGTACGCTGGGGCTGCGTACGTACGTGCATACCTCTGCGAATGGATGTACACGGCAGTATACTGGGGGCTTTATTCTAACCTACTCATTATTTCCTAAACGTGTTTCCCATACATTACTTTCCTTGGCAGGGCGCTCATCTGTTCCGTGATTTTTCGGTTGAGACTGAGACACGTCTGTGTTTGTACCATGCAGTTCAGCGTGAGGGAAGTGGAGGTGGAGCAGTACCTAGCTTCTTAGCTAGTACGTCTGTATTGCGCGTCATTAGCTAGGCGCTGCGTCAGTGCTGGCAGTTGTCAACAGAGTGGTGGGGGGAGGTTCGGCAGGCGTAAAGGTTGTTTTATGGTCTGCATCTGGTTCAGAATACACCTGAAAGATTTCTCTCATTCCTGAACTGATTACACGTCAAATACATAAAAATCTGTCCCGAAATCAAACACGTTCATTACGTCATTTCAGTCGCATCTTTTTGTACATTGCATGTATATTTGGCAGCAAGAGAATATTTTGTTCCTCATTGGTTGGATCAGATAAAATGGGATAGCAAAAGGATTTTAGCCACTGAAAGGAGCTACTTTGCGATGTATCTTGAAGTGTTTGTCATCATCTGGGTGTCTGTAACGTTGCTGCTCTTTAGATATAGGTATAATGGATATGGTACATACTGTATATTAGCTATATGTTATTATTATTATTTAGTGATGCACAATATCATCAGCGTGGTATCGGCTGATATTAGCGATAAAGTTAAATATCGGACATCGGTCACTCCATCAACATAACTCACCGATGTAAAAGGCGCTAGTTTTTTTTTATATATATATTTATATATGTTACATCATTTTCAGTCCCCTTTTTGGCATCTGCATTTGGTAGCAGGCCAAATTGACGAAGACCATGCAGAATAATGTAGTATTTTAATTCTACACATAGGCGTCGTAACCATTATATGTGAAAGGGACAAGTCCCCCCCCGCCACATTAAAAAAACGTTCATTTGGACCCCCCCACTTTTACTATGAAACATTAGTTCAGGTGACGCAGTTGCTCTTTCTTCGTGAACGAATCCATTCCACTTGATTAATAGGAGAATACTCAGGCCACTAAAACTCCACTCCAGGTTTTCCTGGTTACCTTTAACTCTAAACACCTCAGCCTGTTGCCACGGTCACAATATACGGTGGTCACAGAATATGGTGTAACACCTGCAGTGTTTCTGTGCGTCTCCTCCTGTCTCGGCATAAAACACGCACAGGTGGAGGAGATGGAGTCACCTCTGTGTTGCTCGCTTGCCAGTTTAGTGAGCTTAGTATGGGCAGTGGTTGACCAGGGGGGTTGATCATAAACATATATACATGTTAGGAGGATGCTTGAGTGCAGTGCTATGTCTGTAGCATGTTCTCTTAGCAGTAACTGTGACGCTGTCAGACGCTGCAGGTGTAAGAGACGCTGTGTGTTCAGGTGCATTAAAGTTGAAATGTCTTTAAAACCCCACACCTTATTGTCCTTCATGAGAAACATCATTTAGATGAGTAGTGTTGAACACAAGTAAAAAAAGTCTAGTGGTGATGTTTTTTATTTCTCTAAAAACACAAATAGTGCTGACCTGACGCTCTGTGTTCAAGTTAAAATGTCTTTAAAACCCACAGCTGAATTTACACAAACTTTGTGAGAAACATGTTTTAAATGTGTGGAATTAAAGGAAATCTAGGTGAAATGCTGCTTTTTTGTTCACTAGTGAACACCTTTTTTTTTACACACGCACACATGCACGCGCATGTGCACACATCATTGTGTGTCCCCCACATTACAGATGCTTCTGACACCCTTGATTCTACAACAGAGAAAGCTCTGTAGTCTCTGTGGGTCTAGGAAAAAAAAATATCAGTACTGATATCAGTTATCGGCCAAATAAGTTTTAACATATCATTATATCTGATATCGGCCAAAAATCCAATATTGTGCATCCCTATTATTATTATTATTATTGCTATTGTTATTATTATTATATTAGTTGAAGGAACAGGTAAGATTTATACGTCACAGATGTGGTTGAACAGTTGAGTGGATGGTGGACCATGAAAGAGGTCTTACGCCCAGTTTTGCTTTTACCAGTTTGCCCAAGTCAATTTCTTAAATAAAACATTTTTGTGATTATTGGTTATGTTCTGTTTAACACAACACAAAAACACTGATGTTCTCTGGTGATCTCTTCCTTTGCTCTTGCTTCGACAGTAAGCTGCCCTATGATGTCACTCCAGAACAAGCTATGGCCCACGAGGAGGTGAGGGCCAGACTGGAGGCGTCCATCAAGAACACCAAGAACATCACCGACAAATTCCTGTCTGCAATCATCGTCTCAGTGGACACGATTCCGTACGCTCCTCAGTCCTAGCACTGTCTCAAAGGTGTTTTCCCACTGTTGGCTTGCCAGTCTTACTGTTTTTTGTCTCACAGATATGGAATGCGGTTTATCTCCAAGGTTCTGAAGGACACTCTACACGAGAAGTTCCCAGATTCTACAGAAGATGAGCTACTCAAGGTTTGCTATTTGAATCTTGTCTGTGGATTGAACTGGTTCCCTTAAACCTACAAACACTTTTCTTTTCTATTTACTGTGTAGGGTGATGCGTTGGCATCTTTTTATCGCAGGTTGTTATCTCACCCTCCACCATTCAGCTCCTGCTAAAACCTGTAGGGTAACTTTATTTTATTTAGTAAAATGACACAAAACTATTGTTGAACATTTGATCTTTATGAATGTGTAAAATCACCTTTTTAAAGACGCTTTAAAACTATTAGAGAATAAAATACTTAAAGTAATTTAACGCTGACAATGGTACAGTATGTTGATTATTCTCAGACTGAGAACAAAAATAAATTGTATAAATGAATCCACCCTACAATGACAATATGTGAGCTGTAACAAATCAATCACTTGATCAATAATCTGAGCTGATTAGACTTTTGAATAAACACATGAGTTTGAAATGTGAGCGAAACAGAACATAGAAGGAAAGACCGTGTAAGAAAGGTGCAGCTGCGTTTTTGTCTATTAGGTTCAAGTTGTTTTTATTTGATATATTTAGGTTAACAGGTTAACAATAAAATGTTCAGGATGAGAAGAATTGATCTGACTTGCTAAAACAAAAAACAAACAAACAAATAAGAAATAAGAGAGCATGCAATAAGGGTACAAAATAAAGTACCGAAAATTTTAAAGATTAAATGTAATAATTACAAGATCCTAAAGAGACACTGGTGCAAGTAGGATGAATTTGTATGAATTAAGTATTTCAAGGTAGTAATATAAAGAATGTTTGCTCCTGGAGTTCCGGAGCGAGACGAAGGTGGCTTTGTATGGCAAGCCAAGTGTCTCATTAATAACCACTTTCACCAATTAATGAGACACTTGGCTTGCCATAATTATTGAGGGCCCTCTAGTGGCTGCAAATGGTAATGTTTAATATTTTACATGTCAGAATGAATGAATTCGTCAGATCTCAGCCAAAAACTGGGTTATAAATATGGAAAAAAAACCATTTATTGGTCTCTTCGGTTTATAAGTCGCAGGACTTGCAAATTATGCAAAAATGTACGACTTATACGGCGAAAAATATGGTAGCTGTCACAGCTAATATTAGTCATATAAGGTTCCACATATATTATTAGGTGTCTTTTATTTGGGAGTGTCAACATTTCTTGTAAAATAAATGTTTTATTAATTTTTTATTTATTACTTTAAATAGTTAAGTGTCATGATTTTTCCCCCTCAAGAGTTTAAGAGTTGAGTGAAACTCTTCAGGAGTAGTGGTTTCTGTCTGTCTTTTTGTGACGGTGCACAGTCTTTGTTGTCCCTCACTGTGGAGCGATGGGGGGATTGGAAATACCGTCCTCCTGCACTGCCTGTTCATTTCCAGTCCAGTTCAGCAGTCCAGTGAACTTTAACCTTCACCACACAGAGCTTCTCTTCACTTGATGCTCCTCATGTAACAAGTTCAGTCCCAGCCTCTTCTTGTTTATTGCACATCTCCTTCCTTTTTTCTGCTCTCTTCTTTTTCCATGTTTCCAACCAGCTGCAGTCTCTTTCTGCTGACTTTCAGGTGCCCCCGTTCCCTCTGCTGTGATCCAGGTGAGCCATGTCTCTCCTCCTCCCCCCCCCCCCCCCCCCCCCCCATGCTGCTCCGTGTCCTCTACACATTTCTGCATCCTTCATTTTACCAAACGTGTTTGTCGTCTTGTGCTTTCCTCATTCATCTTCATGCCTGTAAAACAAATAATGTAACTAGCATTTATTTAAACCATTTTAGTTAACATAGAAATTGTTTTGAGATTTACTCCTGTTTACAGCATAAAATATATTGTAGCCTAACATTTCAAGGAATGCTTATCGCCCACCGTCTTTCATGCCAGAGTTTGACTGAGATTATTTTTGGTTGATAAATTACAAAATTGTAGCCATTTTCGTCAAACCTTTAAAATGCTATTTACAATCTCATGTTCAATCTCAACATTTCTCACACTGTGTGTTTTCTGATGATTTAGTTTACAACAAATTTTAACTCTGTATCAGTAATGCTGAGTTACAGACATTGTTGTGTTGCCTGGGATTAGGTTATCCATCTATGCATCGTCTTGTTCTGGACTCGGGTCTCGGGGCAGCATCTGGAGCAGGGAGGTCCAGACATCTCTCCACAGCCACCTCTTCCAGCTCTTCTGGGAGGACCTCAAGGAGTTCCCAGACCAACTGAGAGACATAGTCTCCAGTGTGTCCTGGGGTCTCCTCCTAATATGTCCATTAATCCTCCCTAGAGATGTGCCATGGGATCGTTTTTACCAGATGCCTGAAACACCTTAACTGTCTCGTTTCAATGCGGAGGAGCAGCGGTTCTACTCTGAGTCTCTCACAGATAAATGAACACCTCACTCTATCTCTAAAACAGTCCAGCTATAGTGGAAACAGGCATTCATTTCAACTGCCTGTATCCACAGTCTCATCCTTTCAGTCACTACCCAGAGTTTGTGGCCATAGGTGAGGGTAGGAACATAGACTGACCACTAAACATTCTCCTTCCAGCTCAGCTCCCTCTTCACCACAATGGACCAGTACAGAAGACACAATACTGCTGAAGCTGCACTGATCCATCTGTCATCTCAGGCTCCGTTCTTCCCTCACTCATGAATAAAACCCTGAGATACTTGAACTCCTCCACATGAGGCAGAACCTCATGCTCAACCCTGAGAGATCAATCCACCCTTTTCTGACTGAGGACCATGACCTCAGATTTGGAGGTGCTGACCCCACACTCAGCTGCGAGCCGCTCCAGTGAGAGCTGGAGATCACGGCACTATGATACCAACAGGACCACATCATCTGCAAATAGCAGAGATGATATCCTGAGGCCACCAAACTGGACTCTCTCCACCCCCTGGCTGCACCGAGAAGTTCTGTCCATAAAAATTATGAACAGGATCAGTGACAGCAGGCAGCCCTGGTGGAGTCCAACTCACACCCTGAAGGGGTCTGACTAATGCCGGCAGTGCAAACCAAATTCTCACACTGCTCGTTCATAGCAGCTTTATTTATAGAGCACTTTAAACACCCACAGGACCAAAGTGTACACATAATAAGACAATCGGACAATAAAGAATGATTAACATAATTAAGTCAACATGTGAGATGGTGTCAAAGACCAAGGAGCAGAGGTGGGTTTAAGAAGGGATTTAAAACAGACAGGAGCCTGTCTGATGATCAAGGGAAGGTTGTTCCACAGTTTAGGAGCTGCCACAGCAAAAGCACGGTCTCCTCTGAGCTTATGCTTTGTCTTGGGCTCACTCAGGAGCAGCTGATCACATGACCTGAGGGATCGACGGGGTGTGTGTGGATGTAGCAGTTCAGACAGATGAGGTGAAGCAACTCCATTAGTAGCTTTACAAGCAAATCAAATTATTTTAAAATGAATCCAAAAACGTACGTGCAGCCAGTGCAGGGAGGATAAAACAGGAGAAATGTGGTCAAACTTTTTGTCTCAGTTAAAAGCCGTGCAGCAGCGTTCTGCACCCTCTGAAGCTGAGGGTTTCACGAGTCACTGGTTCCTGTATAGAGTGTGTTACGTAGTCCAGTCACAAAGGCATGAACTTTTGTTCTATACACTGCAAAAAGAGTTCATCTAGCCTACTCTTACATTCTTATATCCAGCCAAAAAGGATTTTTGATCTTATTTTGAGACTTATATGCTAAGCAAGAGCAGAAAGTGTTAGATTATTAATCTTGTTTTGAGAATATACATCTCTTATTTCTTACTTAGTTAACCAAATCCTAAATATAGTTACTTTACATGGATATTAAGCAAAATTGTATCACAGAGACCTGTGTGAGATCATACTGTATGTTTAAGAACAATTTTTAGCTGTAAAAACTTGTTTCAAGACCTCCCAGTAACAATTGTACAGGGACTGAATGGCCCATAGCGATGGACCCTCAATCTCACAAAGCCCCCTCCCCCAGTGCACCCCAAGGAACACGGTGGAAAGCCTTCTCCAAGACCATAAATTACATGCGGACTGGATGGACAGACGCTCGTGACCCCCTGAGGACCTTGGTGACCGTATTGTCTCTAAAAGTTGATCAGTTGATTACTTTCGGAAAGTTTCAATAAAACTCATCCTGTAGTTGATAAAACATTAGAACTCTGTGTTGACCCATCAGTGCTCAACATTTAAACTAGATTTCATGCCCGTCGGGTGTGTGTTGTGAGTAGTGACTCTCAGCTACCACCACACCGAGTTTTACATCAATATCTGTGAAACTGATTGACATAAACCCACATTTGTGTTTGTAAAGTCAGTTGGCTGTGGCAGCCATCTTGAACGAGCTTCACTCCATCAGTTGCAGATGATTGTTTTCTGACTTTCATGAAATTTGTTGAGTGGTTTGTGATACATTTTGGTAACCAACACAAACACACACACACACAACTTTATGCACAAACAGAAAAGGACAAAAACGTTATTTCCACCTTCACCTTACAGCAACGGCTAATTTTAAAGTGTGTTCAATCACCAAGCAATTAATTCTTATTGTGATGTCTTTAATCATTTTCATATGAATAAAATGGATGGTGCCACTCGTGTTGAGCATCGTTTGAAGTAACGGATCCATTGCGGTTTGGTTTTTCAGATTGTGGGGAACCTTTTGTATTACCGCTACATGAACCCTGCCATTGTGGCGCCGGACGCCTTCGACATCATCGAGATGTCCGCTGGCGGTCAGCTGACCACCGAGCAGCGCAGAAACCTGGGCTCTGTGGCTAAGATGCTGCAACACGCTGCATCCAATAAGATGTTCCTGGGAGACAACGCACACCTGAACCCCATCAACGAGTACCTGACTGCCTCCTACCAGAAGTTCAGGTGATGCATTTGAGTCAAACTGTTCAAATGTAGCGTCGCATCATTTCACGAGCCATGCAGGGTTTATTACGTTGTGGTGAAAGTTGTAACTTCATTCTTGTTTTCACCCCCAGACGTTTCTTCCTGGCAGCTTGTGACGTTCCCCCACTGGAAGATAAGTTCAACGTGGATCAGTACTCTGACCTGGTCACCGTCACCAAACCTGTCATCTACATCTCCATCGGAGAGATCATCAACACCCACACTGTGAGTCGCCTCCGTCTGATATCATCTCTTCACTCGCAGCTTTCTCAGGTGTGACGGTTTGAATAACACGGTGATGGGATGTTTCTGTCCTGACAGCTGCTGCTGGACCACCAGGACGCCATTGCTCCAGAGCACAACGACCCCATCCATGAGCTGCTTGAGGACCTGGGTGAAGTTCCCACTGTGGAGTCTCTCATTGGTGAGGAGGATGGAGGAAGTCTCTGTTGGTGAAAATACACTCATCCTGACAGTATCATGAACTTCAAACATGATCAAACTACACCATCAGTTTAAAAGTAGGGTTGGTTTTTAAAAAAAATCTGATTTCATAGTGTCTGCTACTTGGAGCACGAACCATTCAGGAGTAAATTTGGACCGTCTGAACTTAACCCTCACTCTGAGGATATATGAAGTGATGAAGTTATATGGAGGAAGACGTGTTGGTCAAAGAGGCAGAACAACTCCTGGAGATGATCAGTGTCAGGATGTGTTAGCACCCTCAGTGAGCATAGTTTGTGTAGCAGCATGAAGGTAACTACACAGCCTGTGCTTGTGCCCTTTAGACTCTTCACACAGGAATCAGACCCCACTACAACATGGCTGACTGCACCGAGTTCTCACTGAATAGGTTTTCATACTATTTTAACTAAAAAGCTCTCTCCGCCCTCACCAGGCTTTATATCTAAGACAAGGTGCTTGTTTGGTCCCATGTACACCAACAAGTGCACCTCAGGCCCCATCCTGGTACAGTTCAGTACTTTATTAATCCCAGGGGGTACATTTGAGGCATCTAGTAATATATCCTGATGCATGCTCAATAATCCAGGTAGAAAAATCTAATAAAGTTCAATCTGGTCCTCTGGACATTCAAACTTTTTTAGTTTTTTTTTTTTTTTTTTTTTTTTGAATGTCCAGAGGACCAGATTGAACTTTTTTAGATACATCTAGTAATATGTTCTAATTATACAGAGAAAAAAAATACATATAATTAAAGGAAACAGAATATACAAATTTTGAAAAAGACTATGCACATGCATAAGGTGGTAGAGAGTACAGTAATCACTCGCTGCTTCGCAGTTCGTTTATCGCAGACTCGCTCTATGGCGGTTTTTCAAAGTAAGATTGGACATGACACTAGTCCTGTCACAATAAACAATAAATCAATTAATCGCATGATAAATGTAAATTATCAACCTCATTTTCATTTATCAGCTTTATCGTTTCTTCGTGTCTCTCTCTTTCTACTGAAGACACTCATTCACTCATTCAGACATTCACGCTTGAACCCCATGCCTTCGTGTAAAAAGTTGTTTTTCTCTGCAAAAAGAAGCTGAGAACTTGTTTACTGATTTTATATTAAAAGCTTTGTTTGACAAATGCTATGCTAAAGAGCTCAAACCACACAGAGTGTCCACCATTTTGAGAACCAAAAAACAGGAATGAGAGACATCCCATGTCACGTCAAGGGGTCTCCCTCCCATTTTTCTTAGAGACACGCTGCTTGCTCCCTAACTATCCATCCTTCGATTCATACAGTCTCATCCAGTGGTCAAAAACAGTACTACACTCAAAATAAAATTAACCAACATTTCTTCTTAAATTTGACAATAATTACTATAATAATTATAATTATTATATTATAATTATTATAATAATTACTAATTATTGTCAAATTTCAAACAATATTATCGTTTATCGCAATAATTTCTGTGACAATTAATCGACAAGCAAAATTTCTTATTGTGACAGGCCTACATGACACACAATGGCTGATTGATGGATGAGCTGCATGAGAGTCATGGATTTTTTTTTAATTTAAAATAAATTATTGTAAATGATTTAGCACCTGTGTGCAGCCCACAGCTGTGGGAGAAGCTTCCTGCTGCAGCTGATCAGCTGATCTCCATGCAGAGCGGAGAAGTGGGTGTGGGGGCTTCAGGGTACGGATCCCCTGTGATAAACGAGGGACTACTGTTTATAAATACTAAAATAAATATAACGTCCCTACTTGGCGGATTTTCATCTATCGCGGGGGTGTCTGAAATGTAACCCCCACGATAAGTGAAGGACTACTGTATATACATATACATAGGTTAATGTATAAATACATACATACACTGGTCGAGATGATGAAATTGTTATTTTTACTGTTGTAGTTGGGGTGGTGGTGGTGTGTGTGTGTGTGGGGGGGGGGGGGGGGGGGGGGGTCATCCAGCATGAAGGTGGCCTGTATTCAGAAAGACCATGTAAATGTGTTGGTGGGGGGTGTGTGTAAAGCTGACAGTTTGTGTCCTCCCTCTCACTTAGGGGAGAATCCTCTTCCTCCTGATGACCCCAACAAGGAGCTGATGGGGAAGACGGAGGTCTCCCTCACACTCACCAACAAGTTCGATGTTCCTGGGGAGGCCAATGCTGAGATGGACGCCAGGACCCTCCTGCTCAAGTGAGTTAACTACCAATCAAAAGGATTTTATTTTAAAACGTGGTGTTTTTTAGCTTCTTCCATCATTTTCTTGGTCTGTCGGCTTCCAGCACCAAGAGACTCATCGTGGATGTGATCCGGTTCCAGCCTGGAGAGACCCTGACGGAGATCCTGGATTTGACAGCCAGTCCAGAACAGGTCAGGTCCTCATCTGATGATACGGACCTTCTGATCCTGTGGTTTTGCTGCTGAACATTAATAATTCAAACCTCTTCACTGCAGTGTTTGTTTAATGGAAGTGGATAAATCCAGCTCTGCCTTCAGGCAGAGAACAGGAAGTCATTTCTCCAACGTGCTAGATGACAAACACTGACTTCTTTCTGTAATTTCTAACGTTCAAACCCACTTCCCAGCACGTTGACAACATCCTATTTGGGGAAAATGGAAACATGTAGGCCCTAGAAATGATTGGAGAATCTCTGCTGTCATGTCTTTTAGCTGCAGCTCCATTTATCTACAGGAAGTTATTATTACAGTGGTGTAGAATTGTTTACAGAGGCTGAGTATCATGAAGGTGCTCTTTCATTCAGCATGTTAAATATTTGAGTTGAAGAAGATCTGAAGTCCACGCTGTGTTTTCAGGAAGCAGAGTATCAGCGGGCCATGCAGCGGAGGGCCATCAGAGACGCAAAGACTCCAGAGAAGATGAAGCAGGTCAAACCGGTGGTGGACGACAGCCTGACTCTGCAGGGCAAGAAGGACAAGATCAAGAGTAACCTGCAGAGGCTGGCGGAGCTGGGGAAGGTCCACCCTGAGAACCGCTACCAGGACCTGATCAACGACATCGCCAAGGTTTAAACACCGTCTCACTCCGACAGGAGAGCTTCAACAGAAAAGAATCGTCAGTATTTAAAGTCAGTGTGTGTGTGTGTGTGTGTGTGTGCAGGACATCAGGAACCAGAGACGGTATCGGCAGCGCAGGAAGGCCGAGCTGGTGAAGCTTCAACAGACCAACACAGGCTTGAACTCAAAGACCAGTTTTTACAACATGCAGATCGACTCCTACAACCAGTACATCAAGACTTGCATGGACAACCTGGCCAGCAAGGGCAAGTGAGTCAGCGCCAGCCAGCACGTCTCCCAGAAGAACAGTCGCCTCTTGTTACTTTGTGTAGTTAGTGTCTTACCTGCAGTGGATGTACATCTCCAGCTGGTCTAGTTGAGCCAGTGTATGACAGACACCACGGCTAACAGACGTTAGCCAACACAAATAATTCAGTTTTTTATTATGACGTATGTAAACTTTCTTTTATCTGGGCCATAACTTCTGATCCACTCAAATTAATTTAATGTAACTTGATACACACATGCATCATCACAAAACAGTGTCAAGTACACTTTTCATCACCCCAGCTTCAAGTCAAGGCCACAAATCAAGGTCAAAGTTATACAAGGTCTTATCTTATCCAGGTATTGCTATAGATTGCCGTCCACTCTGCAGGTGTATAATGTGCCGTATTGTACTCTGCGTACTCTTGTTCACGTGTTGTGCTAAAATATTCAGGTGTGGTTGAAGCAGAGGGTCATTCACAACACGTACCGTAATTCCTGGACTATTGAGCGCACCTGAATATAAGCCACGCCCACTAAATAAAATAATAATTTTGTACATATATATAGGCCACACTTGTCTATAAGCTGTGGGTGTTCATGTTGTAACATGAGATATGTACACTTAAATATGTACCAGTAACTTACACAAATATGTACAGTAAATATTTTTTCTGAACAGTGCCTGTAACACGGCTTGTTATTCCCCGATCTGTTACGGAAGCACGATCCGTAGTGTAGCTCATTTGTGCATGCGCTAAAAGGACCCTACTTCCGGGTCGCATGGATCATCGTTGAATATGCTAGATTAAGGAAAATGTACAGGTATAATTCCGTTTATGAATAAGAACTGTCTTAATTTACTTAGAAAAGTATGTGCTGTATCTGCACCGATCTTCTTGTTGCTAATTTACGCCACTCGTATTTCCGTTAAAATCATTGACATATTTACGTTATAGTTAAAATGATACGCAGCTTCACCACTGAGTGGCGCTGTTTCACCATGGAAATAATTAATTCTGTGTCTTGCAGGGTTTTCTCATTCAGCCCAGGCTGGGGGTCAGAACTAATGTGTCGCATATCATCTTAATCAATGATTGTAACAGAAATACGAGTGGCGTAAATCAGCTACATCAAGATCAGTGGAGAGAGAGCACGTACTTTTCTAAGTAAATTAAGACGGTGTTTATTCATAAACGATGACGATCCGTGCGACCTGGAAATACACTATGGATTGTACTTCAGTAACAGATCGGGGAATGACACGCCTGATGTAAAAAATAAAAAAATAATACAGTATCCTACCAGGAAGTGATTGATCGCTATCGTCATCTTCCTCCTGCACACTGTGCAGTAGAGGATGACACCGGAGTGGCTTTTCACTCCTGTCCTATCCCACTCCTGGTAACATGACTCCTGCTCCCATTCAGATTGACTCCCACTCCTGTACTGCTCCTGTTTTTGTTTTTTCCGGGTTTTTTTTCTTCCATTTAGTCTTTAGGAAATACATTGAATTTGATTTAATCTTCTGCCCATTCATTACTTTGTGTATAACACAGTACAGACTGGAGAATTGCAAGTCTGGTATTCCAGAGTGAAGGCTTATAGGAAAAATACCACAAAATAGTGGTGCCTGTCCAAAGTTTTATTTTATTTATGTATTTATTGTTTTGTCTTATTTGTTGGTTCCCGCTCCTGTCTGTTCCTGCTAACGTTTCGTCCTGTCCCATCCCAATCCTGTGAGTTATAATAAAGTTGACTCCTGTCCTGCTGGAATCTTGCTGGAGTCCCGTGACCCGCAGGACTCCTGAAAAAATCTCATCCTCTACTGCACATGAGGAAGGAGGACAACTTATGCTGTCGAAACCCGTTGGTGATGGAGGATTGTTTCACACTGCTCCTCTGTCAGGATCCACTGGCAGACTTGAGCAAAAGTTGCTTTTCGCATGCAGCCAGTTCTGTTAAACGATTTCTCGCCTCCAGTCTTCCAAGCCTCCCACTGAGCTCCGAGTGCCACATTAATGCACGATTCACACCGATGTCAAGTGGCTGTAAATACTTCATGGGGTATTCAGGGGAGGAGAGAACCTGTTCGATAAGTTCATTGGTCAGATTTTTTTTTACCTGTATTTATACAGGTAGTCTCATTGAGTCACAAGGACCCCCACCCCAAGAGAGACATGTACTGGGCAGCTAATGTGAGCGCCCGGGTGTGATGAGGCCAAATGTTTCGGCTGCATGAAGCTCGTTAACCTGTCAAAAAAAAATACAAATTTAAATCCATAAATTAGCCGCAGCATTGTATAAGATGAGGTGTTCATAGTGTTTGGAGAAAGTAGCGGCTTATAGTCCGGACATTACGGTACTCTTGAGATTACAGGTGGTATTTTCATGGTTTGACCTAAGTAATGACAGCTCTGTCATGAAATATGTGAAGCAGCTGTTGAGAGCCTGAAGAGATTTATAAAATGTTTACTGAAGCCACGAGGGACGAGATGATGATTTGTCTCCTGCTGCCCCTTACACCCAACACTGCTTTTCAGCACCACTGCATAGCTTTACAAAGTAATTTAAAATATTTTAAAGTCCTAAAATATACACATTAAAGAGCTGTCAGAGCCCACTTATATGTCCTAAATTCTTTGGATTCATGAGGAAGTTGGTTACAGAGCACGGGTGGAGGGAGGACAACGAGGTTTGCTCTTATTTATTTAGTTAGCTGACACGTTTTAGTGCTGCAGTTTGAAGCAGCACACCATCAGCTGAGCGTGAAGAAAGGCATCATGGGATTGTTGTACACTGCAACAGAAGGCCAGCTCTGTGTGCTGACAGATTCATCTTTTTACTTTGTTGTTTTGTTCCTCTCAGGTTGTCCAAGAAGCTCGGAGACAACAAGACCAAGAAGAGCAAACAGGTTTCCCAGAAATACACGGCAGCCCGGCTCCATGAGAAGGGGGTTCTGATCTCCATAGATGATCTGCAGCCCAACCAGTGAGCTCTGCACAACCGTAGGCCAATCTGTGTTTTTTAATCAGCCAACATGTTTATAATCTCATTTGTTGTTTTGTTGTTTTTTTTCTCACAGGTACAAGAACGTTATTTTTGAGATCTCTCCATCGGAAGCTGTTGGAGTGTTTGATGTGAAAGCCAAGCTCATGGGTGTCCATTTGGAGACGTTACAGTTAGAATATCAGGTACTGGGCTGCCAGAGTATTAAGCTGAACCTTGTCTTGGTGCAGAGTGTGTAACATGATGTCAAGGTTTGAGTCAAAGGCCTCGTTTACACGAGAACAATCTCTGGAAACGATGTGTTTTAATTGTTTACTGAGGGTGATAAACAAAAAATGAGCCAGTTTACCCAAAAACCTGTAGTTTCCACGTCAGTTGTGTTGCCAGATCAGTTCAGTTTATTTATATAGCACCAGTCACAACAGAAGTCATATCAGAGCACTGAACAGAAATTCATATATAAAAATAATAATTTAACATTATTTATCTGAGGATGAGACTGTTTTGAGTTTAACTCCATCACAGAACTCTCATCTTGAACAAGCATGAAGGCGACAGTGGAAAGGAAAATTCTCTTATGAGGAAGAAACCTTTAGCAGAACCAGACTCAGGACAAGTGGTCATCTGCTTCGACCAGCTGGTTTGAGAAGAACAGGAAGGAGGAACGAACACATTGACAGGTCCAGGATGGAGGACATCAGATGTTCTCTAGGAGGAAAAAAAGACAAAAATCACACGTTAATAAATAATAATTAAAAATACAAACTATTCATTTGTATGTATTTATAACTGTTCGTTTGATGGAATGAGGTCAATATGTTCCCAGTAGTCTTAAGGTTATAACAGCATAGGATAAGGAATAGCTCAGGAAACCCAAGTCAGCCCTAACTATAGGATTTATCAAGAAGGAAAGTCTTAATCCCAGTCTTAAAACTGGACAATGTGTCAGCCTCATGGACAGAAACTGGAAGTTGGTTCCACAAGAGAGGAGCCTGATAAATGAAAGATCTTCCTCCCATTCTGCTTTTGTAAACTCTAGGAATTGTGAGTAAGCCTGCAGTCGAGAGTAAAGTGCTCTCAGCAGCATTTTGGATCAACTGAAGACGTTTTAAAGACGTATTTGTGGACACCCAGATAATAAACCATTGCATAGTCCAGTCTAGACGTGACAAATGCATGGACCAGTTTTTCTGCATCATTTTTAGATAAGATGTTTCTAATTTTAGTGATATTACACAGATGGAAGAAGGCGGTTCTAGTAACGTTTTTAATGTGGGGGATAAAAGACATGTCCTGATATAACACCAGATAAGAAATTATGAATTACTGTGACTTTAAAATGATGGTATTTTGACTTAAACCGTCACATGTGCTGAGTAAAGATATTCGAAGATGAGGTGTGTGTTGTTTGTTGAACACGTGCACAGAAAAGGTCAGGTCAACTTTATTTATAGAGCACATTTAAAACAGAACCTGTTATCAAAGTGCTTAACAACAACAACAACAGGTGGTAAATAATACATTTTAAATTTATCTGGCAACCCTGAAGGCTCAGCTGCATTCATCATGCAGCATCTGCATGACAGTTGGTTCAAACTGGTGAGTACACCAATGTCTCTTTGTAACTGGATTTTATTGGTTTTGCTCCTACAAGCTGAAAAAGGGTGAGCAGCACAAAAACACTCTGCTCTCTGACATTTATTACTACGAAGGAGCTTTATGGCCACGCTAAGAAAAAACAAAATCCATGAAATTACGAGAATAAAGTCAAATAAAGTCTTAATATTACGAGAATCAAGTTGTACGAAACGCAACTGGTAGAGCTGCTGCCTCTCAGCGAGCAGGTCCCTGGTTCAAACCCCGGTCCAGGGGCCTTTCTGGGTGGAGTTTGCATGTTCTCTCCGTGCGTGTGTGGGTTTTCTCCGGGTACTCCAGTTTCCTCCCACAGACCAAAAACATGCATGTTAGACTGATTGGTAACTCTAAATTGTCCCTAGGTGTGAGTGAGAGAGTGAATGGTTGTTTGTCTCGTTTGTCTCTATGTGTCCCTGTGATGGACTTGCGACCCGTCCAGGGTGTACCCCGCCCCTTGCACAGTGATTGCTGGACATGGGCACCAGCGACCCCCGTGACCCAAAATGGAATAAGCGGGTAAAGAAAATGGATGGATGGATGAAGTTGTACGAAACCTTTTTTTTTTTTTGTAGCTCTCGTTTGGTTATTTGAATGATTTTTTTCATGAGTCTGATCCACGACGTGACCTGACCAATCCAAAGCTAAATGAGTCGTAATATTATCCGAACTCCGGCATGATAAAGCAGGTTTACTGCATTTTAACTGTGGTACATTGAAGAATGTTGAGCATCTTGTTAAGTTATACTTTGGTATTGATTTTACAAATAAGGAGATAGTTAATCTGTGAGCACATCAGCATCAGATTATTCTCAGAATCAGGACTTTGAACCTGCTGACAGTAAGGTGGTACGCTCTGATGGGCTGCAGCAGCTCTGCAGGTAAGGAGCATTTAGCTTTGGATTAGTCATTTGCTGACATGCCTACTGGATTGATTGACAGGTCGAGTTGTGCATCTGATTCGTGGAAAAATAAATAAGAGAGCTGTAAAAAAAAATTAGTCTCCTATGACTTTATTCTCATAATATTAAGAATTTATTCATCTTTATTCTCATAATTTTATGGCTTTAACAACTAATTTTCTTAGCGTGGCCCTAAAGCTCCATCGTATATTATAACTGTTGTTAGTGCAGAAAAACTTTGGAGTGCAACTTCACACTTATGGGGCATTTCACACCTCTCTGGGGGGTTCCCCTGAAACTGCCCCCTCTGAGACCTGGATCTTTCAGAGAACGGGGGCTGTTGTCTGTAAATGAACAGAGCCGCTGCAGAAAGGCTGCGGTTTCACTTAAGAACCGTGTCGTGCACACGGAGCCTAAAACTGTGGCGGGCGACAACCCGTTCCTGTATCTGCCCTCGGCCGCCTTCACTGGAAGCTGAAGCAGAGTTTAACGTTTTTGTCTCGTCTCTTTGTGTCAGGATCTCCTGCAGCTGCAGTACGAAGGCGTGGCCGTCATGAAGCTCTTCGACAGAGCCACCGTCAACGTCAACCTGCTGATTTTCCTCCTCAACAAGAAGTTTTATGGGAAATAGTAAAAAGCCGAGGAGCAAAGGGCCACAGACAATGGATTTTATCACAGAACTCGCCTCTGGGGGGGTTGTTGCTTTAAACCCCAGTGTACCTTCTCTGCTGTGCCTGTGCAGATTTATGTGCTTTTTTTTTAATCCACGCCATGTGCCTTACTGGTAATGTGCAAGTTGTTCTGTAACTGCAGCTTGGTCACAAATGTCTACTTTTAGCTGTCAGTCCTGCAGTTATCATGTGCATGAGCTTTGATGTAAAGACGTTGATGTATGTAGCTGTTAGTGAACCTCGTCCTGCTGAGCGTGTCCTCCGTGCTTCGCTCGTACGCTGGACGTGGTTTGATCTCAGACTGAGCAAATCAAATGATGCACTTCTTTTCTTCTCGTCCTCGAACTCTTTAGTTTATATGTTTAACTGATGTTTACCCATCATCAAGAGAACTAGTTGTATATTTGAGTAGGAAATCAGATGCTGTAGTTAAACCTTTGTCTTTTTTATGTTTCTTGATCACGAGTCACGAATGGATTCAGTCTGTTGTCTCTAAACGGGCCTCCACCGGTCCAGATGATGGTTTGTCGTTACAGCCTGAAAATGACCAGCAGCATCTATCAGTGCTCAACCAGGATTTAAATAAATCTGCTCATGTAGTCACTTTTCATCCGACACAGATTTGTCCTTAAGGTTGGAGACAACTGAACCAGATGATTGCAGAAGTCTCTTCAGGAGAACCACGACTGTATTTGAGTTTTCCTCTCGTCTGCCTGAAAATGCTTGGAGTTTGTCTTTATTTATATTTGTCTCAGTCGGTGGTGAGCTCATGTCAAAGCTGCGATGGATCGGGGGAGTTGGAGGCATCAACCCTGGGGTCCGCCGGGTGTCGCTCTGCACCTTCCTGGGGTTTTGTTTTTCCTCTGATTGATTTTCTCAACTCCAGATTTGACTCAGTCTCGTGAAGAAAATGGATTTTTGTTCAGTCTTGTTTAATTATTTTCAGAGGCCGGGGGTTGTTTGAAAGTGGCTCGTTGTGCTGTTGGTCTGATTGAATCCCAGAGGGTGGTGTGTATTTGACTTTGTACCTGTTTTGGAATAAAGATTTGTCAATTCACTGCGTTTCATCCAGATCCTACAAACTGCTCAGGCAGCAGGAGGAGCCACATGATGTTCTTGAGTCGCTGTAGAGTCAGTTCTTCATACACCTACATTAAAAACAGGACTTTCAGCTCTTTACCTGTGTGTTTGTGAAGATTCTGCAGCAGAATGTCAGAACAGAACCGGGTCAGGCTGCTTCTGTAAACTCAAAATGTGATAAAATTTGGCGATTGGGCGTTGAAATGCAAAACAAATGTTTAAACTAAACTGAATTTAAAATTAGCAAAAGTGTAGGTACAAGGTATACTTTGTAAAAATGTAGCTAAAGGCTAAAATTAGCCAAACTGTAGTTTGAAGCCTTAAGTACAAACCGTCCATCCAGCAGCCTGAGCAGGAAGCTCCAGACGTCTCTCCACAGCCTCCTCTTCCAGCTCCTCTGGGAGGACTCCAAGGTGTTCCCAGATCAGCTGAGAGACGTGGTCTGTCCAGCGTGTCCTGGATCTTTCCCACCATCTAACAGTTGGACCTGCCCGAGAGGCGTCCAGGGTCCTTACCAGATGTCTGAACCACCTCAATTGGCTCCTCTGGATGTGGAAGAGCGGCAGTCCTGGATAAGTGAACTCCTCACCCTGTCTCTAAGGGAGAGCAGCTACCCTGCAGAGAAACTCATTTCAACCTCCTGTATCCATGATCTCCTCCTACCCAGAGTCCATGACCATAGGTGAGGGTAGGAACGTAGATCAACCAGAAAACAGCTTTTCCTTCCAGCTCAGCTCCCTCTTCACCACAACAGACCGGCACAGACTCCACAATACTGTAGAAGCTGCACTGGTTCTTCTTTCAGCTGCTCCCTTCTTCAGGAGTCGCCACAGTGAACTAACACACAAAGACTTGGTGATTGTTTTTATACCAGATGTTCTTCCTGACACTACCACAGCCCTCTGTGTGGAGCAGAGAGCTGCTATCCAGGGTGCCCAGAGGAGCAGATGGTGGGGGTTAAGTGGGGGCCCAGAGTGGGGCAAATGAGGGTGGAGTCAGGTGTGTGTCTTTCACCTTTCCCACCCACATTTTGATGTCTGTATGGGGGATCGAACTGTCGACCTTCCAATCTCAGACTCTCCTTCTGTAACCTCTGCTCCACCTCTCCCCTGTTGAAGCTGCACCAATCCACCTGACAGTCTCACTCTCCATTCCTCCCTGACTCATGAACAAAACTCCACTGGAGGCAGCACCTCCCAACCTGGAGGAGAGAGCCCCCCCCCCCCCCCCCCCCCCCCTTGCCAAGTGAGGACCATGGCCTCAGATTTGGAGGTGCTGATCCTCATCTCAGCCGCTTCACATTCAGCTGTGAACTGCTCCAGTGAGAGCTGGAGATTACGGTACGATGAAGCCAACAGGACCACATCATCTGCGACTCCTGAGGCCACCGAACCGGACTCTGCCCCCTGGCTGCACGGAGACGTTTAAAACTAAGACACTCATGATGGGTCTCATCCACACACTGCCCTGCTGCTGCAGAGATGTTCAACTATCTCAGCGACGTCAGAGTCTGTTATGGAAAACAAAACATCCATTTCAGTTGGTTTATCACCAAAAACACAGATGGACGAAACAACTCTGATTTTATTTTGTTTTGTTTTGTTTATTCAAAATTGAAGCCAAAATGTGATTTTATTAAGTTTTGCCATGTTATATTTGTGGAGCCAAAGGCTGCAGACTCTGGGACATCAAAGTCAAAGATTCTTTATTTGTCATTCACATCATATGTGGTGCATGTGGTGGAACAAAATTGTGTACACAGGGTCCCAGTTACATCCAACAAAAGTATAAAATATAAAGTGTGTGGAGTGCGGGAAAAATATGGAAAAATATGGGGGAGTGGTGGCGCAGAGGTTAGAGGTGTGGGCCTGTGATCCGAAGATCGCCGGTTCACGCCCCGGCCCCAACAACATCAAAAAAATTGTGGGTGGGGTAGGTGAAACACTCACACTTGCCCCCACCCTCATTCGCCCCACCCTGGGCCCATGAGCAAGGCCCTTAACCCCCATCATCTGTTCCCTAAAACAGGTCTCTCTTGAAAATGAGTTCTCGTGGCTCAATGAGACTACCTGTATAAATAAAGGCTAAATAAATAAAAAAAGAAAAACAGTAATAAGATCTAAGATATGAACTAAGAAATACGCTAAACTAAGAATACACTAAGAACTAGTACAGAAACAATACACTGAACAGCAGCACGAACATGAGTCTGAGCGGTTGAGTACAAACAAGCAGCATGAAATAAATCAGCAGCATGAGATCAGCAACATGGATAGTCAGCAACACATATCAACAATCAAGTGGTATTAGTGATTTATTTTTTCTCACAGTGATAATACTGATTAGGTATTCATGAGTCTAACAGCTTCAGGGTAGAAGCTGTTCCTCAGTCTAGTGGTTGTGGGGATGCATCTTTGACACGTACGTCCTGTCTCCACCCACAATGCACCAACTGTCTGTGACAGTCCCAGGCTAATAAATGACTGAAATTAAAATCTAATATTTGAACATCTGAAAGGTAAGAGCTGCGTCAGTCAACAAAAATCAACAGCTGAAGAAAACAAAGACTGAAGAAGTCTTTCAGATGAAAGACTAAACGTTTCTACAATTTTATTTTTTTTTTAACCCGTCCAGAGGACCAGATTTCACTTTTTTTTAGATTGTTCTACCTGGATTATTGAGCATGCACCAGGATAAAACTGAAGTGTATTTTAGTGACTCGTTTATTTACAGGAGAAGTGGGACTTGTCCTGGACCCAGCCCAGTAGAGAAAACCATCCATTGTGGCCTCAACTTCCAGCTTCCAGTTCTCTAGTTAAATAATATCTTGATGGTCTCCCTTAAAGACACTGGTCCAGATGACATGATTTAACCTTTTGTTTTTATCTTCCTAGATGATTGAGTTTACAAACCATTATCTTTATGGTTTGGTTTTAACAGGATAGGATATTTGCCCATTTTAAACAAACTACAGGCTAACAGCAGAATGGTGTCAGAGCGTCTCTTGAACATGTCTCAAACAGCTTCTAGATCAGGGCGGCTTTGTGGGTGCTGTGTTCCTTGACCTGAAATGTGCTTTTGACACCATCAACCACAATGTTGTTCTTGCTAAACTAACTCATTTTAATTTCTATAACAGTGCCCTCTGCTGGATGAAATCATATGTCTGACAGAAACAAGCAGTACAAATAGAAAACTCACAATCTACCTTTCTTACCTGCTCAGCTGGAGTCCCACAAGGCTCAGTACTGGGACCAATCTCATTTAGCCTATATGTTAATGATTTACCAAATTTTTGCAAAACTGTACAAATGCAATTATACGCAGATGAAGCTGTAATGTATTGTATGTTCATGGAAAAACAAAAAAATGAAGCTGCTGCTGTGCTTTCTAGTCCTATGATGCCGGTGTCTCACTGGCTCCAGGACTCCTGTCTACATCTCAACATAAAAAAAAAACCCAGTATGTACGTTTTTCTCTCGGCTGCCAGTAGATAATGAGCAACCGTATGTGTTAGTCAATGGCAAGACATTAGATGTGGTTGAACAATTTAAATACCTTGGAGTCACTTTTGATTCCAATCTAAATTTCAAGCAGCATGTAAAGAGAATTTCACATATAATTAACCTTAATGTGTCAAACTTCAAACATATAAGACCCTCTCTGACAACAGAATCAGCAAAGGCGTACATGCATGCCATGATCTTCAACATATAGCCTATTGTTATACTACATGGTCTCACACTTCAGAGGCCATTTTAAAGCCCCTAACATCTTTTTTAAGAAAACATTGAACATTTTTGTCAAAACGCTTTTACAGTATCATTATTGTAACATAAGTAAGTACAACATTCTGGATTTTGATAGCTATCAGACTTTTATGGATGCTTGCCTGATTTTTAAAGTTTTAAATGGACTTGCTACTCCTCCTTTAATGTATTTTACAAGTAATAAAAACAAGTACAGTAAACACAAGAGTGCTGACCAGAGGAGATTGTGATGTACAGCGGCGCAGGACTAAATTTTGCCGAATGGTGGTGTCCATCAGAGGCACGCAGTCGTGGAACACACTGCCAGTTTCCATCAGGAACTGTGGCACGTACTCCAGCTTTAAAAACTCTCTGAAACTTTGGCTGAAAACTAACCAGAGGTGCACTCATGTAGATTACTTTGTCTATTATCTTATGACATCATATCTTTATTGTAATTTCATGTTGTGTTATGTGTTATATAGGTGACGTTTGTATTATTATCTGGGATATTTCTTGTTCTTCCCTGCCTTAGGACAACGGATGAAAATTATCTATTGTGCTAACTCCAGCATATTTACATTTAATGCTTACTGCTGACATGTTGGTTAATATGCATTGTCCTAATTTAAATAAATAAATAAATGAAATGAAAATGTCCAGGATTTTATTTTAATACATTTTAGTTCGACTCCCACAGTTCAACAATGTCAGTGGAGGTTTAACTGGCTGCCAGTCATCGGGTGACGAGCTGACTGGTCTGCTGGTTTCACTCCACTCTAGATGACGAAGTGGCCCGTCGAGTCGAGTGTGCTTTTTATTTTCACCACCTCATTTCATCTCACATATTTACATTAACATTTTCTACTCCGTCAGATGGGATCTCCAATGTAACCAAGTACAATACTTCACATAAAACATACTCTAGTAAAAGCATAGATTGGCATAGTTTAACAAATTACAAAGTACACAAAATGTATAATTACATAAGGTAAGTACATGTAATTCCAGCCCTGGTAATGATGGCGCTGCTTTGCTCAGAGATGGGGCGGAGGAGCTTCACCACCTGGTGGAGCTCGGAGTAGAACCTCTGCTCCTCCACATCGAAAGAAATGAGCAGTCTTGGAGAAGAAAATGAAAATGCAGTTTGGATGATTTATTTTTAATTTTATTTATGAGTGAAAACGTGCAGCTTTATTTTGAAAATGGAAAGCATTTCTATTAATCC